TTTGATTCAGATAACAAAAAGTGAATTGCAAAGTGTCCTTGACTTAAAAATCCAACAAATCTTCCCAGTATCAATGCCAGTGATATATCATATCTAAAATCTACTGAAACTAGACTGTCAAAATTAGGTAAGGAGTATATGCCAATTTATACCAGGAGCAAATGGAGGACATGATCACTAGGGGTGCAACTAGACAACTTACAGAAGATGGATGAAGGAGACACGAGGGTCCAATCCACTATCTAACCCACCATGAAGTAATAAAACCAGGGTCTGTGTCTACTCCAATTAGAATTGTATTATACTTGGCTACTCCCCCCTCCTACTAAACAGTATGTTGGGAGTGTCATTAAGGACGAGACAAGAGAAGGCTGTGATTATTGGAGACATTTCAAAAATCTTTAACAGAATAAGCTTAGCACAGAGTGAATTTCATACCCATAGGTTTCTGTGGAGAGATCTTGACACACACAAGCCGCCTGATCATTATGTTTTAACACCCACTTGTTTTGGGGTTCATCCTTCAGCTGCAATCTCAATGTTGGCCTCAAGACGTACAGTGGAGATGTGTTTGTCAGAATATAATGATGCTGCTCAAATGATAATAAAAAATTTATTTGTTGATGATATTGTGAAGTCTACAGATAGTGAAGAAAATGCTTGTAAATTAATGAAGGTTGCTGAAGTAATTCTAGGTAAGGGAAGGTTCAAGATAAAACAGTGGATTACGTCTGGTAAAGAGAAACCCAATTATGATGGTAATGTTCAAATAATGGATACTGACAGTGAGAAGGTCTGAGGTTTATCTTGGGAACCTAAAGGTGACCATTTCTCTAATGTTACCCACTTTCAGTATCTCGGCTCCCACCTGTCCACTACTGCGGACATCGATAAAGAGATTCTACATCGGATCAGATGTGCATCTCAAGCCTTTGACAGACTCCGTACCCGTGTCTTCAGCTGAAGGGAACTGAAATTATCTACAAAGTTGTATGTATATCGAGCAGTGGTCCTCCCCACCCTGCTATATGGCAGTGAGACATGGGTCACATACAGGAGGCACCTCAAGGCACTTGAAAACTTTCATCAACGTACAGTAGTCTATGTTCCATCCTCCGAGTTCGCTGGGAAGACAAGAAAACAAATGCCAGTATTCTCGCTGACACCAACTGTAGGAGCATCGAGGCTACCATTATCCATGAACAACTACGCTGGACTGGCCATATTACCCACATGGATGACAGTCAGAGCATGCAGTTCGGAACGGTACGATTGGTTAATCGTAATTCGTACCAAAGGAAAAAAGCTATATCATAATTTTGTACCGTACCTCAGATATATCTTCGATCCGTACTAGTACGATAATATATCATACTGTAATTTTGTACCTGGTTTCGTAGCCCCCAAACAAAATGTAGCCCAATTTAACGCTAAATTACACATTTTACTTAATTTTCTGTCCCTAGCCCACAAAAACTACATAATATGTGTTGTAACGCAACATCATTATAGCATCAATAATGTCGGCTTTGAGTCCCAGCCGTGTGTGTGTGTGTGTCAGCTGGCAGGGCCAACCCCCCCCCCCTGGGGCAATGTAATTTTGTTGGTCTCGCTGGCTCACTGAGCGTGGTCGGATCTGACCTGACCAGACCTGACCTCACAGCTTCACCTGACCTGACCTGAAGGCTGTAACACACACCTGCATCGCCCCAAGCTATTGTCCTGGCCAGCCAAGGGAGTGACTTGGTTCAAAATGGTACGAGAAAAGTATGAAAAATTAATCGTACCTTCGTGCCGTACCGAACTTATCGCACTGTAATATTGAACCAAACTTTTATCACCCTCATAACCGTACCGTACCATACTGCATGCTCTGATGACAGTAGACTGCCAAAGAAGCTACTTTACAGTCACCTAACGGATAGTAAACGTAACGCTGGCGGGCAACTCAAGAGGTATAAGGATAGTCTTAAGACAAACCTGAAAAAGTGCCAAATCGACCCCCTCACCTGGGAGACGATTACTCCACACTGTAACACTTGGAGGAGCACCACACAAGAAGGTGTCAATACTTTCGAGTTAGCTCGACTGCATAACGAGGCAGACAAGCGCCAAAGCCGGAAAGACGTTGCTGCCGTCCCTCCCGCACTAGATGTAGCCCTCCACATGTGCAACATCTGTGAACGACACTGCCGGTCCTGTATCGGCCTCTTTAGTCACCTCAGAGCTCACCAACCTAGGTGACATCCTTAATAACTCATATCATTGTATCATAGCTGGATGATCGTCATACTCGATTCCAAGTGACAGCAAAGTAGTAGTAGTAGTAGTAGTAGTAGTAGTAGTTTATGTAGTAGTAGTAGTAGTAGTAGTGTGTGGAGTCTAACACAAGAGATTGCCATCACTGCATTAAGGTTCACAATCTTATAGTTTCCACCATGAAATATGTAAGTATCCTGACCCCAGGTAATGAAAGGCTACATGGAAAGAGTGATCATATAAATGGTGGTTTGTTAAATTACATTATTATTTACCTTGTATTTATAGTGACCAGGCGTGTTATTACTCGCAGAACCAATAAATTATGTGCACGCTCTAATATAATTTTTACTTAGCTGTCAGATGTGGTAAACTGAAGGAAGACACAGTGAGTAAGGCTGGCTAGGTGAGGAGAACTGAAGTGTTGTCTTGTTGGAGTACATGATGCATGGTGAGCGTCCAGGAGACCAAACAACGACAACAACAATGCGTGCCTTAGACGTTTGAATACAATCACCTAGACATTCAATATATACTGCCATACTGTATATATGACAGCTCATAGAAACTGCTGTAATATCAATAAGAATTACACCATTTTGAACCTTCATTAAGACAGTACTATCTTGTTGCAGACCCAATAGTCTCTCTTTACATATAATAGTTCAAGTAACAGTGATAACCTCTTTGTTTGTGACCATAAATATGTTCTCAAACAAGTGAGCTCATATTACTACAGGTGTTCACCTTTTAGTACGCTTTATTGTTTATGTTCTACTCAATAAATTTAATGTTTAATTATTGATTTTGTTATAATATTAAAAGGTTTTGAATGTATGGTGTAGCATCTAAACTTTTCTTTCATCATCAACATTTTATGGTCATTTTTCATGCTTGTAGTTTTTAAATGTAAAAACTTTAACATTGTATTAGGGGCCAAAATTGAAGTGACCCGGGGTGCTGATGGCCCTACAGTTGGCCTTGTTACCACAACACATCACACTTTTCACACAGCTTCCCTTCTCACAAAGAGAAGTTCCTCTTGCCATCAATAACGGCAGCAACTCCCAAAACTTCCTCTAGCCACTTCTGACTCTTGCAACTGAACAGCCTTCATCACCCCCACTAACACTGATCAAGTCACCCAAGTCATACAGTTTCTCCAGCCTTATTGTGGACACATGGTTCCTACACAGACAGAACACTTACAATAATGTCAGCAACATCCTGCACTTTACTCTTGTGTACACATCTTCCACACTCACTGCACATTACCTTTCTTACAGACAGCACATGGTCACTTTCCACCACTGGTCCCTCAGCCACACCACAAATCAATACTTTTGTATTTGCTACAGTCAATCTCAGGCCCTTTGCCAATATTCCATCCTCCCAGTTCTTAAATTTTTCCCCTTCTTCTTCAATTCCCTCTGTTATCAGCACTAAGTCATCACCACACAACAACTCCCAGGGTAGACCAGTCCTAAGTCCTGTGATATTGCCTCCAGCACCATGATGAACAGAAGAGGACTCAAGACTAACCCCTACTTTGACATCATCAATAATTCACACAGAGCCTCAAACAACACCTCAGCAAGACTCTCATCACCCCAAGATTAAGGCTAATTTAAAGATAAATCATGAGGGAGTCACATTTTTATTTTCTTCCAAAAATTTAACAACTTCATTGTTTAAACTTCCTCACAATAAGACATTACCACAACAGTTTGTAGAGCATGTGGTGGTGGTGTACAGATTGCCTACCAAGAGCATGTGGTGGTGGTGTACAGATTGCCTACCAAGAGCATGTGGTGGTGGTGTACAGATTGCCTACCAAGTTCACAGCTCATTAATACTGTCAAGTTTGTGACTAATGTTTATAATATTGTTCATCATTTATACCTTTACTTCTGTTAAAAATACAAGGGAACAGTCAGTGTGTTGTAGAGGAAACAGTCGGTGTGTTGTAGAGGTAACAGTCGGTGTGTTGTAGAGGAAACAGTCAGTGTGTTGTAGAGGAAACAGTCAGTGTGTTGTAGAGGAAACAGTCAGTGTGTTGTAGAGGAAACAGTCGGTGTGTTGTAGAGGTAACAGTCAGTGTGTTGTAGAGGAAACAGTCAGTGTGTTGTTGAGGAAACAGTCGGTGTGTTGTAGAGGAAACAGTCAGTGTCCAAGTTGTGTTGTAGAGGAAACAGTTGTGTTGTAGAGGAAACAGTGTTGTAGAGGTAACAGTCAGTGTGTTGTAGAGGAAAACAGTCAGTGTGTTGTAGAGGAACACAGTCAGTTGTGTTGTAGAGGAAACAGTCAGTGTCAAAGTTAGTGTACCAGTCAAGTTGTGTTGTAGAGGTAACCAGTCACTGTCCAAGTTGTGTTGTAGAGGTAACAGTCACTGTCCAAGTTGTGTTGTAGAGGTACCAGTCACTGTCCAAGTTGTGTTGTAGAGGTAACAGTCACTGTCCAAGTTGTGTTGTAGAGGTAACAGTCACTGTCCAAGTTGTGTTGTAGAGGTAACAGTCACTGTCCAAGTTGTGTTGTAGAGGTAACAGTCACTGTCCAAGATGTGTTGTAGAGGTACTAGTCACTGTCCAAGTTGTGTTGTAGAGGTAACAGTCACTGTCCAAGTTGTGCTGTAGAGGTACCAGTCACTGTCCAAGTTGTGTTGTAGAGGTAACAGTCACTGTCCAAGTTGTGTTGTAGAGGTACACAGTCACTGTCCAAGGTAACAGTCACTGTCCAAGTTGTGTTGTAGAGGTACCAGTCACTGTCCAAGTTGTGTTGTAGAGGTACCAGTCACTGTCCAAGTTGTGTTGTAGAGGTACCAGTCACTGTCCAAGTTGTGTTGTAGAGGTAACAGTCACTGTCCAAGTTGTGTTGTAGTATTAAAAAGCACAATGATAACAATACATTTATCAGTTTATATTTGCCTGGGTAAAGCCTGACCCAAACAAACCTGTGAGAGGCAGAGACGTGTACCTCCCACCCTCCACGCCTGGGTAAAGCCTGACCCAAACAAACCTGTGAGAGGCAGAGACGTGTACCTCCCACCCTCCACGCCTGGGTAAAGCCTGACGCCTGCAAAGCGTGACTCAAATTAAACCAGGAGAGGCAGAGGATGCACCCCACCCTCCACGCCTGGGTGTAAAAGCCCACCCCAAACAAACCTGTGGAGAGGCAGGACGCAGTACTCCCACCTCCACGCCTGGGTAAAAGCTCGACCCAAACAAACCTGTGGAGGCAGAGACGTACCTCCCACCTTCACGCCCAAAGCCTGACCCAAACAAAACCCAGAGAGGCAGAGGACGTGATACCCCACCTCCACGCCCCTGGGCAAAGCCTGACCTAAAATAAACCCAGAGAGGCAGAGGACGATACCCTCCACCTCCACTTGCAAAAGCCTGACCCAAACAACCTGTGAGAGCAGAGACCTACCTCCCACCCTCCACGCCTCTGCAAGCCTGACCCAAACAAACCCAGAGAGGCAGAGACGTACCTCCCACCCTCCACGCCTGGGTAAAGCCTGACCCAAACAAACCTGTGAGAGGCAGAGACGTGTACCTCCCACCCTCCACGCCTGGGTAAAGCCTGACCCAAACAAACCTGTGAGAGGCCGAGACGTGTACCTCCCACCCTCCACGCCTGGGTAAAGCCTGACCCAAACAAACCTGTGAGAGGCAGAGACGTGTACCTCCCACCCTCCACGCCTGGGTAAAGCCTGACCCAAACAAACCTGTGAGAGGCCGAGACGTGTACCTCCCACCCTCCACGCCTGGGTAAAGCCTGACCCAAACAAACCTGTGAGAGGCAGAGACGTGTACCTCCCACCCTCCACGCCTGGGTAAAGCCTGTGACCCCAAAACAAACCTGTGAGAGGCAGAGACGGTACCTCCCACCTCCACGCCTGGGCAAAGCCTGACCCAAACAGACCTGTGAGAGGCAGAGACGTGTACCTCCCACCCCTCCACGCCTGGGCAAAGCCTGACCCAAACAAACCTGTGAGAGGCAGAGACACTTCCCACCCTCCACGCCTGGGTAAAAGCCTGGACCCAAACAAACCCAGAGAGGCAGAGACGGCACCCCACCCTCCACGCCTGGGTAAAGCCTGACCCAAACAAACCTGTGAGAGGCAGAGACGTGTACCTCCCACCCTCCACGCCTGGGTAAAGCCTGACCCAAACAAACCTGTGAGAGGCCGAGACGTGTACCTCCCACCCTCCACGCCTGGGTAAAGCCTGACCCAAACAAACCTGTGAGAGGCAGAGACGTGTACCTCCCACCCTCCACGCCTGGGTAAAACCTGACCCTAACAAACCTGTGAGAGGCAGGGACGTGTACCTCCCACCCTCCACTAACCCACGATCAGTGATGCAGCGACACAGATCCTCCGCCACAACACATACGAATGACTTGAGGAACAATGGACTGGGATCACTATAACACTCTCTCTATTGACTACCTACAAGGAAGACCATTAACACTTATTGAAAACATGAATAAACAAAGTCATACTGTATACACACACACACACACACACACATATACACTGTAACACTGACAAGTAAATGTTCAAACACCAGCAATTAATTAAATCAAATCAATATTGTAACAATCACTTGTGTTATTTTTCTAATCTACAAAAATCAGAGCAGTAATGATGACAAGTTAAAATTTGTTTGTACATTATTTTCTTGTTAACACAGAAGAATATATCATCTCAGTATATAAACTTTTCCACCATTATACCTTTGTTTTAAAATTTGGGGCAAATGGCTTCTTCATCTACACTTAAAAAATTTATATGAAGCTTATTAGCACGTGTGAGTGTGACAATAAGGTACAAGTACTGTCGTGTGGGGAGGCGTTAAGTTGGCGCAGTGACCTGATACACCACGCACAGTTGTCATCATAATAGAGACAGGACAATAAATACTTAAGCCTTACATGTGGAGCACAAGTCCTGTACAGTACACACACTAGCCAGTACTCTACATCAGCCTTAACTTATAGTGTATCACTCTTACGTGAGTCCGTCTGCCGCTCGGTTTTCTCCTATTTTATTAAGTTAAAAGAATTTGTTACAAAAAATCTACCCCAGTTTGAGCACAATAGCAGAAAACCCAGAGCAGGTCGACATTCATGAAAAAAAATCGTCGGCACTAATGTGAAAACCCAGAGCAGGTCGACATTCATGAAAAAAAATCGTCGGCACTAATGTGTCGTATTTTGCTTTATGCCAATCACCAATCACTTGAGGCGAGTCAATGTGAACGATCGAGCGAGAGTCGACCACTCCAGTACCAATGTGGGTCTTGATGGTAGCACCACAGGTGGACCCCAACTTATCCTGCAATATACATTATATATATAAGTTTGCAGCTCATCAGGTTCATATAACACAACCAAACATTACTCTTCATAACCAAACATTACTCTTCATAACCAAACATTACTCTTCATAACCAAACATTACTCTTCATAACCAAACATTACTCTTCATAACCAAACATTACTCTTCATAACCAAACATTACTCTTCCATAGATAATACTGTAGTGTCATGAAACATCTTATATTTACTCATTATTTACACTCACAATGCTCTATGTATGTTAGGGAAAGCCTTCATGCATCAACACATAATATTCGGGCCCTCGTGTTTGCGCTCACAAATGTGTTTAAG